ACAACTAACATAGGGTGACTTGATACGAAGTACAATTTATTGTCTTAGTTAACCTTTGATGATTTGATCTATTTTATCCAATTTATGAACCTACAAAATCCGATTTTAAGAATAATACTTCAACCTCATAGAGACAGCTATGCTAGCCCTACTCTATCCCAACTCATTCTCATGTTCACTTCGTCTCAAACGCTGACGGTAGTACGATGCATCTTCTTAGACAGTTGGAGTGTAACTGCGCGTACATTGTTTTCCGAAGCATAGGTTTCTACCAGCGGTTTCTTTTGACTGACCAATCATTTAAAAAGACGACTTCGTTAGTAGATACCTGTTTATAGAATAGTTGATATTCATTGGATGCCTTGATTTCCCAGGACATCTCCTAGTACCCATTTTAGGATGGAGTCGACTAGAGAGCCAGGGTCATTTGGTAAAATCCATTCGGTGCGGATTCGAACCTTCCCGCCAGCAGGCAAGCGTATGGCCATCGCGGTCCTGTTAAATTGGGCTAAGATACCTTACTAGGTGGGCTTTTGTGCTACATGGCTCTGGGGATCGGTTGGTCTTCATAACTGGTACCAGAAAGGGTTCTTTTCTGTTTAGCAACCACATTACGCGTGATTTAGGGACATCTGTTATGTTAAGGGGTTAGAGTTAGTGTTAAATGAATGGCGACTACTACTAACTCTAACCCCTATATAACATGGGATTTCCCTAAATCTCGCGTGAAAAGAACCATAGAAAGTTCAATGGGGCGTAAATTCTGACGTGATCACATTACTCATCGAGGTCTATAAACGAGCAGTACTGTACGCTACTTTAAGTGACCGATAATTACCGATACCCAGTTAAAATAGTCCCCATCTGCGATTAAATACTTTAATTCATGGCTTATAAATACAAGTTACTTTAATAACATAGCTGACAATGGAATGACCTGTATGCTTGTCGAAATAACTGAAGTTTTTGTTTCAGCGGCACTATATTTATTACCATTATTTTGTTTTTAAACAGACTATTTGATATTCTTGGAAATGGTATACTTATGCATGTGTGGATCTATCTGTCTGTCTCTCTCTCATTTATAAATAAAATGCGTATAGCTACTGTTTATCAGGTTAAAAATCTATAATGTTGCCTTTTCCGCCTTTGTGGATTCAAAATGTACACTGACATGTTATCGGCCATAACCCTGTAGCCTACGCCTCTTCCTGACACGCGCGAACGTGTACACACACACACACAACAGCAGCGGCGGGTAGCGCCCACACCATGGCAGTCTGCGGGTGTGTAGTTTTAGCCAGGAAGTAGCCAACTCGCGTTGCTAAATGTAGCCAGATCTACTTCGTCCAGATCACGTTGTCTTTGATTTTGCGATGCTCGAAGATTTACCATTTTGAATCGTTACAATTTCTTCAGAAAAGAGCGATGTCCTTAAAGTAAATCGCGCAACGAAGTACTGTTTGCAGAAACTGCACGACACTTTTGGATGCCGGAAATTAGTGCGCAGAAGATGAAAGAATAGGCATAGCATTAAATTGCGTTTCCAAAAGAGAAAGCAAGCTCATTTGGGTGAATGGTAAGCAGCCCAGTTCTACTTGCCAACGTGCTCGGCCCACGCTGTCGCCGTAGAGGTTTACTAACTTACTGTCAAGAAAACAAAACGATGTTATAATTCACGATTTTCGGTGAATCCACCGATGGGAGGGAAAATAGTAATGTAACAAAACAGAAAACTTGGGGTGGTTTCTTTCAGTAACTTGGCGCGAACGTGAACACTTTAATGGAGAACGTTTACTTTACAGTTATAGAACGATAGAATATAGATTTTCGCTCCCTGGAGATTTTATGTGCTCATCACTAGTGTAGAACTTCCACTCAGAATTAATCTGTAATAGCTGAGTTGTGTCAGTCGGGTACATTCTCTACAAAGTAGGCTGGCCGCAGTGAATGGATCTACAACTCTGGTCCTGGTGGCAGACTGGTGCTCACCCATCTGTTACTTACTAACTTTTATTTGCTTGCCTTCATTTGTTCCCCTCCAATGTGGCTTTTCTTTCTAGTAATAATTTTGGGCCCCTAATTTTGTAACAATAGATTTGCAGGGAAATACCAATTTATAACAAGTACTAAAACCCATGAATAGGAAGCATTAGTAAGTGTCTGCCCCAGTAGTCTTTGTTTTAAGGTATTTATTTCAGAAGCTGAAATTATATTTTTATTTGTGAGTAAATAATTAATACAGTAACAACTGTACAACAGACACATTCAGAAAGAATAAATTTACTATCTGAAAGCATAAAGTAACATTAAAATAACCTATTCTCCGATAAAGGGCACATATCATTTATGGTGACCAAAAACACACCCTAACAGGGCCTTATTCACATGCAAATTGTGTACTTCTGGCGACGTAAATTGCGGACTTCCGGCGACTACCGCAACACTGAGAGTATCCCCCACGCTGCTACACATTGCGTGGAGCAGGGCTAAACTAAATGGCTGGGACTCACGAACGGCAGCTACCACATCTCCTACAGCTTCCTTCATTTTGTTTGCTCGTGAGTCTCAGCTATCTAGTTTAGCCCCGCTCCGTGGCGTGGGAGATACTCTCGGCGGTGGTGGTAGTCGCCGGAATCCACATTTACATGTGACTGAGGCCCTGTAAGGTTTATTTTTGGGCGCCATAAAATGTGCCCGTTATTCGGAGGATAACCAAATAATCTACATATTTGGGTCCCTGCTAGTATTTGGGGGGGGGGGGGGGGGGGGAGTCGACTCTACCCCTTAAGTCATTTTGTAAGAGGTGACTAATTAGGGGTTCTTCTATTTAGTCGGAGTCTGCCCGAGACGTGGTGAACCAACAATCTGCATAACAAGAAGCTAGATCTGTAAAATGAATGTGCCTGCAAAACTCAAGTTCTGGAAGAAGACCAAATGTCCATATGTGGTCGACCAGAATTTTCCGACTGAATTTACAGCCTGCGAACGCTAAGAATAAAAAATCGTTACATACTATCTCCTAATAAATCAGGTGTGATCAGGCTAATACGTACTATCTATTTTTTAAATCAGATGTGGCCAGGCTAATTAAAAAATTATGAACAATACAATGACTGCAGGAAATATTATAAAACAGGGAAAGTTTACATTGATAATAATACTGTGGACATTATGTATCCCAATCAAGAGGTCAAACAAGGTATTATGTTAAAAGCTGATTTAAAAATTGACATCATAACACTCAAGACACCCCATAAGCGCTCCGTCTCAGGGTATTATGTAAACATTGCTACCTATTTATACTGAAATTTTTCACATTTATCAATTTTTATGTGCGCAAATGTCCCTGCATTTCTCTGTTATCTGCGCATCGAAGCTGCATAAATAGTCGACAGGACGGGCTTATTTTCTGTATTATCGGAGACCCTTCTTCCAGCTTTTTCTCTTTTGATTTGGTTATCCATTTTGTTCTATAGTAGCTTATCAGTGCACACACATTGTGAAATACAAGATGTGAGAATATCAGCTGATTGCTCACACTTGTGAATATTTGCTTGTGAGCTGGTCATACTGTTGTGAGATTTTCATGTTGCATAGGTCAGTCAGCATATTTCTCCATTCCGCTCTATCCTGTCTAGTGGCAGCGCCCCCCCCCCCCCCCCCCCCCGGCAATAGCTTTAAAGGGCTGGCTAAACCAGAAGAGTGTATCCGACCTGGTTCTAAACCACTCAGTGATTGGGATATGCCTACTACCCTTCATGTAAATACTGGATTGTGCGGATGACACCTCTTATGGTTCAAGGGACAGTAGGGTGATTACCAGCAGGCGCTATGGAGAGCTTCGAGCAAACAAAGGCGCGTAAGACTCCTTGGTCATCCACTGCACCTCACTTAAATCCAGGTCCTTGCGTAAGTCTCTCTCATCCAGTTATCATACTCATCAGTCTTTTGCAAGCCCTGAGGCGAGAACCGTATCGCTAATCCCACATTTACTGCGGCTTCCACCTGTTGTCCGCATTGCTCAAGAACTTTCCGGGCTTATATTGGACTAATCAGCCACCTTTGTACTCATAATTTATCATTGCCACTTTGGATTAAATGTGATCTTCATCACTCTTGATGGACGAACAACATCCTGTACAATCCTTTTATCATGGATAACATTCAACAATATGAAATAGTTTCTGAACAGCTATGTTATTACTTACAATACCAGTGATCAGTTGATTTACTCTTCGTTTTTAAGGGTGCAATAACTTGAATGAATAAACAGCACAAGATCAGATTGAAGCTTTTGAAATGTGGTTGTGTGGACGGATAGGACAAAATATGGCAGGCATAGAAAATTATAGGTATATCTAGGGCTTTTGTCTAGGAAACATAGACGCTGGTACTCACCACAAAGAGTCTAACAAGGTGTTACTTTTTTGTTCTAAATGAAACCTACCTTTCAATTTGCTGACACTAATATTCTTTTTTCTTCGCGTTCACCGGCTGTAAACTCAGGCAGAAAGTTCTGGTTGTTCGTAATCTTCTTGACTCTAGTCCTGTTCCAGAACCTGAGTGTTGCATGTTCATCCATTTCACAGGTCTGACTCATTTGCATGCAGACTGTTGGTTCCTTGCTTCTCAGGCAGATGTACTTCAACTTCAAAGGAAACTCCCAATTAGTCGACTTTTACAACATGCTCGGGCAGGCAGTGCATCTATTCTTGTTTTCCCCCACAAAGGGGCCCCAGAACCCACACAGGGAGCTGACACTGATGTATTTTATTTTCTTCAAGGAGTTTTGCTGACCTTTTTATTCCTTAATATACATTGTCTCTCTATTTTCTTCTAGTACTTCATTTTGCAGTAGTTTTAAACATTTACCATATTCTTGTATCCATTAAAAAATTGTGTGATTATTTAGGCTACTTTTTTTCTGCTTCAGATTTTGGTAAAAGAGAATCACAGAGCAAGGCACTTGGAGAGCAACAGAACTTCTCATTAAAGTAATGGATGACCACGGTGTTGATGGAGAAATTGAGGAGGTGTGGGAAGATCCTGCCACTGATAAAAGCCAACGTGAAAAGGATTTATCTTCTAAAAGAGGCGTGGCTTTGAATTCCGATCGCCAGCACCCCCAGAACAATAGTCATCAGAGATCTAGTGGTCATTATTTATCTAACCTGGATAAACGCAACAATAATAGGCATTCAAAAAAGCACAGACAAAAGGAAGTTGGTTCAAACATCACCAAGAATTCCTCCAGAGGACGTAATCATTCTCACAGATCCACACAGCAGCACTCAAGACAGAATGCTCACAATTCCACAGAAGACGAAGATCCTTTATCAAAATCCCCCAATGTAACAGAGAAAAATGGTGTAGACTCTCGTGGCAAACCTGTGAGGTGGCCAGAAAAGGGTGAAACCGAAGATGGTGAGATTTTGGAGGATGGAGAACTTGATGATGATAAAGAAGCACCAGAAAGTCAACAGATGTCTGCCGACACAGATCACATGGAAGGTATGCTGTCTACTTTTTAATAATGTGTATATTTAAGTCAAAAAAATAAATTTTAAAGGACCCTTTTCACAGCACTGAACATATAGTGCTAAACCCATATATTTATAGGCTGGTCTTCCTTCGAAGTCGGAGTACAGCTGCCCATGAGGCAGGGAAATGAAAAACGGTTGTACACGCAAAAATCAGGTCCAGGTGAAAGCCAAAAGTCCAAGCGGACGATTAACCGGGACCTTCCACTGGAATTCACAGCCGGTGTTCGATAAAAAAAAAAAAAAATAGGCTGGTCTGCACTCCATTGAGGAAGCAGTCAGATCACACTGCATGCATTTTCTTCCCATGGTATTTCCTGGTACCCACTTTGAAATGGGTCTACCTGGCAGCCCAGGTCAATTATTAAATCCGTCTTGAAACTCTTGGGCCGACAGGTAAAGGCCTAACCACTATGTTACTGCAGATTCCCTGTATCTTATTATCATCATAGTACCACAAGACCATTGCGATTGTGTCACCATTACTGTTGACATTGTGATCACATCTTTGCATCTCTCGTTGTCAGGTGCGCTGAACTTGTTTGCTTAGTTCAGGCCCATCTAATCAACTAAATTTTGTATGTTTATTCTCTTGTCTTGTCTTCTCTTCCCTGGCACTAAACACCCTGTAGTATTGTTCTGGAAAGTCTGATAGATGTTACATGTCTGCACTGTCGTATTTACAGTTGTGTCCCTGATAAAGAGATTCTTAGTTGTCAGTGCGTTGCATGATGAAGTTTGTCATTTGTTTCCTGGTCTGTGTTATGTCCTCTATTTCTAAGAGCTTGCCTCTAGGTACAGTCTTATACAAATATTCATAATATCATAAATGCATGTAGAATAATTGTGATAAATAAGATAAATGTAGTTATATATAATCTCACAAGTGTCCCTGGGTACTCTTGCAGGAGCACACTTACATATCAACTGACTTTATCCTTATCTATAGTCGTCATTTTGATTTTTCTCTATATTTCAGCTTCTGCTTCCAAGTTAAATAAAGGAGGGAAAAATGAAAGAAAAAGAAATCGCAGACGAGGCAAAAGACATCATGAAAATGACATAAAGGTAAAGCATTGTTGTATGGCTTTTGTGATAAAACATTCACATAGTACAGGCTAATAAAAAGTTTGATTTAATCTAAGAGAACATTCATTATGTGTCAAGCTTCTTATGCTACAGCAATGAATGTCAAGTGTAGAGTGTAAAGATGAAATTAACAGTTTCTGTAACCTGCACAGCCCATAGAGACTAGACCACCAGCCATGCAGTCCTTAATCCTCAGGTTCAAGTACGCCCTTCCGCCTCCCCATCCTACACCGTCCTAAGAAGTTGTGCACGCAGACACCAATGACATTTTGTTTTTGTTTTATTTAATATAAAAATATGCAAAATCAAGAACTGATGTCACTGCACTCATGACATTCCTGCTGGTGCTGTCTTCTTCGTCAGTAGCCAGTGAAGAGTTCCCACACTGATGTGTTGTCAGTTGTAACCTGATGAAAAGTATGCTTGTCTTTTCTATTTGTCGGGCAGTACTTTTAAAACTAAGAAGTTGGTTTGTTCTGTCTACGTAAAGGTATACATATATATTTTTTAATGCAAAAATATCAATTTAAAAAAATTATTTTCAGTTACTTTTCATATGATGCAGTAAATGTGAGGTGTGGCAGTCAGAACATAACATTACTGCAAACAGCGGGCTCTAGTACACGTCAGCTGATTCACCTTTGATGGTAGTTGTTTCTTCTCCCACAGTAAAAAAAAGTAAAGGACCCTTTTCCATGCCTTTAGGCGTATAGGGCTAGACCTATATTTTATAGACCAGTCGGCTCAAGATGGGTGATGAGTCAGCATCATGCCGGCCGCCTTTACTTCCAGGGACTGCACCCGGTACCTACTCAAGGTTGGGTCTACCTGGAACTTCCCCCACAGTATCCTAGATTCACCATTTGGGGTTGTTAAATTGTCTTTAGGTATGAAAATGGTGTTTAGAGAACAAGTAATCTTAATGCAGTCTTCCAACAGCTTACTGATGCAGATATATAACTTCTAAAAACACTACACAGTAGTAGTTTTTATGAGAAGAGGGAAAATAGAACATGTTGTGACCACTGCAAAGATCTGTGGAAGAAGGGATAGAGGAAGATAACGAGAGAAGATTCTTGACAGCCTTGTTGCATGGCATGGAGGTGTGTCGGCACACGAACTGATACATGCTGCCGGCGATTGCAGATTGTGGAGAGGCATGATCGCCCATGCCAGTCGGCAAGGCACCTGATGATGCTGAGTTGTAGTTTATGGGTATTTTGATACTGCCATTTAAACAGGCTGTATGCTGCAGTGGTTAAAGCAGTTGCCGGACCATTGAAACAAAAGTCCCCAATAGTAACAGAAGTGTTTAACTCCAGACTTTTACAAGTTTCCTCATTGACTGGGCATTGTTGAGTCGTAAACACATTCTGGAAATTACCTGTGAAGGAAAACTGGTGGTGAAGAGAACTGGTAACCTCCCATCTCAGTGCAGCCTGACATACTTTCTCAGCAGTCGTAAATAACACACTTTAGCCTGGAGACTTTGACTTTTTTTTAAGTTGATAATTGAAATATTCATGTCTTTGCTTTCAGAAGAAAAACTATGCAGAGGTTGCGGATTTTCAAGATGGGAAAAACCAGGGACCATCATGGGGATCAGGTTATAACATGTCGAACCAAAGGGAGCCAGGATATAAAAGGGGAGGCAAAGGCTACCACAGTCCACTTGGCTTATATGATAGTCCAACAGAGGACTTAGATAATGAGTGAGTGAACACATGTACAAGGTTGTATGATCTGTTTTGTAGTTTATTGATACTTGTACCCTGCTGTGTGTCAGACTGGTTTAGAGGTACCGCAGTAGTGCAGTGGCTAGACTTTGCCTGTCTACCTGAAGGTCTTGGGTTTGAATCCACAGCAGGGTGGATTTTTTATGATTGACCTAGGACTCCCAGGTTGTTCCTGCCTAAATGGGTTCCAGGAAATGTGCTGGGAAGTCAAGTGGCTGGTGGTGTTTACCACACCCATCAAGTGCTGACTAGTCTTCAGCAGCTCCAGTATGAAAAACTGGATTTTTTTCACCACCAAGAACCAGAGAATCTTCTTCTTCTCCTCTTCTTTGCGTTCACCAGCTGAAAACTCTGGTGAAAAGTTCTGGTTGTTAGTCCACTTCTGGACTGCAGTCCTGTTCCAGAACCTCAGTGTTACGTGCGTATCCGTTTGACAGATCTGACACATTTGCGTGCAGACGGTTGGTTCCTTGCCTCTCAGGCAAATGCACTTGAAGGAAGCTCGACATGCTTTTGGGTCTATTCTTGTTTTCCCTTTAATAGGGCCCCAGAACAAACATGGGGAAGAACCAGAGAATGAACTACATGTTCCTTCTGACATCCGAGCCCACTTGATTAGATGTTGGGCTGCCTTGGATACGGACAAGAAACTGTAAGGACTCGTGTGCGTATTTGGTATGTCCTGCATTCCATTATTTTTTAATGCTGTGGTATACCAAACAAAATAAACATCATTAAAGCAATGTATGTAGGTTGAATGTTGAATTAAAAATCGGCATCACAGCACTCGGGACACCCCATAAGTGCTCCGTCCCCATCTTCAGCAGCAAGCGAGGAGTTAAATTCTGATGGTACCAGTAGTACTAGTAATAACTGTCTGATTGTATATCCGTTTCGCCTTTGCCCTGAGTGTCGAGCGTCAGCCAGATCCCCTTCTAACTCCTTGCAGTGCCATTCTCCTCAGACCATAATGATCTATCTGTTTCTCAGCACTGTTCACTCACTCCCATAGGACCCTCACAACATCCAGCTTGTTATATACAAGTTCACAACCAAGTGGTGCAGAATCAGTCTATCTGCCTGCTCATTTCTCAACACACCGGCATCACTTGAAGAAAATATCTAAAGGATGCTAACTACCCAGGACTTTTGAAGTGATGTTTGCCACTGTGCCCGGAGCATGCCTTTCTCCACCTTTCTCAACACGCTCTGAGAGTTACAATGATGGCATGTGTGTACAGCTGATTCTCAAGCCAGCGGAAGGCAGCAGTGACTGCCTCCACCTCCATTCTCAAACTAGACGTTGTGGTATCATATGCAGAGCTTTGTTGCACCAAGCGACGTCCATTGGCCTTCTCTATGAACCCCCATGCACTTCATCTGCCCCTCAACACAAAGCCATCTGTACAGACAATCACATCACACAGGTGGGAATTTTCAAAAGTAGCGGCATTTGACTAGGTATCCTTCCGGGACTGGTAACTACCCAAACCTTTTGGCAGGAGCTCTTCTTTTTCAAAAAACATTTGTAGTTTAACAGCAATAATCTTTTCTAGCACTTTGCCAAAAGTATTTTGTTGGGTGATAATCCTAAAACCGCTGAGTATAGGAATGATCTTTGCCTGGTTTTGGAAGTGGAATTACGTAGTTGTGTTCACATTCCTGAGGTACTGAAGCTGTTCTGATGCTCTGGTTGAAGTAACCAAATCTTCATCACTCATGCTCTTCATGTGGGCATACGTAACTCTGTCTGGCTCCGTCGCAGTGTCCCTTTCTTTTTGCAATATGTTTTATATCCTCCACCCTAATGATATCCTCAAAATAATTATCATTTTTTGTATTATACAGATTATCGCTGACTGAATTTCTAAGCTACCTATCATTATGATCAGTTTGGGCTATAAATCTCTTCAAAAATGCTCCCCTTTTCTCTTTATCTGTTGTCATTGGTATATCATATCAGTGCCTGTATGATAGGCCGATCCTTCCTTTGCATCTGTCTGTGAAGTCTCCAAAATCTACCCAGTGATTTATCCCATCCGATTTCGCCCAGAAAATGTTCCCATTTAGCCTTCTTTGCATCTGTCTGTGAAGTCTCCAAAACCTACCCAGTGATTTATCCCATCCGATTTTGCTCAGAAAATGTTCCCATTTAGCCTTCTTTGCATCTGTCTGTGAAGTCTCCAAAACCTACCCAGTGATTTGGCTCAGAAAATGTTCCCATTTAGCCTTCTTTGCATCTGTCTGTGGAGTCTCCAAAACCTACCCAGTGATTTGGCTCAGAAAATGTTCCCATTTAGCCTTCTTTGCATCTGTCTGTGAAGTCTCCAAAACCTACCTAGTGATTTATCCCATCCAATTTTGGCTCAGAAAATGTTCCCATTTAGCCTTCTTTGCATCTGCTGCACACCGCTTGAAATCTTCTACTTTTTGTATGAAGGTTCAGAGTGTGCAGTGCGAATGGATGATGGTCTAAGTGATTGGTTTGCAGTTTAAACTGGAGTGAAATCAGTGATGTAGTTCATCTTCTTTGGTCTAGCTATTGACTGGATGACACACAAAAATGTTGTGTTGGAAACACCGACATGAACAAGATGAACACAGAATTGGAAAAACTCAATTTTGCAGATGACACTTTTGCTAAGTAAGTGGCATCAGTGACATGCAAAGAAAAACATAGTTTAGCCACACACAAAACAATTGCATTGCTAATTGGGCTAAAAATGTTTTGAAAGGGAAAATTATATTGAAGATACCACTATCAGGTCAAGCAGATGTAACACTGGAGACAAAAAGAATTAGGGTCATAACAATCCACTTAAATGTGATAGTAAAAAAAAAAACACAAAGAAAGAAATTTTGACTTGGCAAGGTAAAAGCTTGAACAAAATATGGAATTCTTAATTGCAAAGAATTAGAATGATGTCACATATTTTTAGTTTCAATGTTTTTTCAGTTTTAACATATGCCAGTGAAAGTTGGAGAACAACCAAAGGCATGGAACAAAATTTAAATGTAAATGTTTTTTGATGATCGTTTTGAGAATAGTTACTGGTCCAGTAAATGTTTTTGATAATGATATTTTTGAGAAATAGTTACTGATCCAGTAAATGTTTTTGATAATGATAATTGTGAGAATAATTACTGATTGACAGGCTAGTGTCACAGACACTGTTGACAGGAGGATACCTTGATGCCTCTGTTGCGGCTGATGAAAAACAGGTAGGAATTAATACCTGGTTTTATCCTGTTTAGCAATAATATCTTTTAGCTTGTAGACAAAAGTGATATTTCTCTATAATTTTTACATTAATACTTGTCTCCTTTCTTAAAAATGAGTATTAATATGGCAAATCTGTGGACCCATCAAAAATACAAACGGCGGTGAATGGAGAGTGAGAATAACAAAAAAATTCATAATCTGTTTAAATCACCACTGATCACTGGCATCATGAGAGCTAATAGACTGTTATGGTTGGGGCATGTTGAAAGAATGTCAGATGACAGAGAAGTGAAAACTATACACAAGGGAGATGAATGGTCGTAGACCACGAGGCAGACCAAGAAATCAATGGAAGGATAATATCCAGACAGACCTGCAAATACTTGGTGTCACTAACTGGAAAGAGAAGGCCAACCAGAGTGATGAATGGAAACAGGTGATATCTGCAACAGTGAACCTCAAGGGCTCAGAATGCTGAAGAAGAAGAAGATTAATAATGACTCCATTTATAGGGAAATTTCTCTGTCTTCGAATCTAGTTTTATTAATTCATATATATTTTTTCGATGTAATGCATAACCACCACCTTGTATCAGCAGCAATTTCATCAGCACCAGTTGATTTATTGTTTTTAGCCATGTTATTACATACAGTACTTCTTCAAAATCAGGCTTTTCTGTATTTGGTTCACATGTTAGTATCTCTTCCTGTGGACACGTATTTAGTGCAAATTCACAGTTTGTCGGGTTTGTTTTTTATCTTTTCTTCGGAAACTGGTGCTGCTTATTTATAGTCCTTTGGCTACTGTGAGGTTAATTAATATCCATGATCATTTGAAATTGGATATAGGCTTTCCATGCCAGTGTCATTTTTATAGGTTTTTTTTATCTTTTTATGTTTTGCATTGAAATCTGATAATCAGTACATACCGTTTTTGAGTTTCCTCTATGATATTCTCAAGGAGATCATGGGAGTCTTGAATATCTTTGTCTCAGTATGTGCATGCACATTAATCATCAGGGGCTGCGTTAGCGCACTTGATAAGAGGCTTGCTTTCAAATCCAGCTGCGACTCGCTGCAGCCCACAGTCAGTGTTCGAAACCGGGCGGTTCCCAGGGTTCACCCAACCGCTAGGAAATGGGTACCAGAGTCGACACTCTGGGGTAAATGGAGGAACGTCGCTGTAGCTGCAGAGTTATGTGCGAACGGAGACGCAGGTGGACAGTTTCTTATCAGCTGTCCGTACTGGTGGCAGAGCACTTATGGTTTGTAACCGTGTGCAATGACGCTGGTTCACGTCTCTCGACTTTACCTTTACATTAATCATCATGATATTTTCCTTTTATTCCTTAAATTACTGATCCTATCATTAGCAGCTTCAAAATTGAAAATTCTTTCCTAGTTTTTTTCTTGATAACAAATCCTGTCCCTAGCTCATGTTTTTTTCGTGTGTGTGTTTCCTCCATGCACTATGATCATTCAATTTTTCTGTAGGGTACCTTTTGCTGGCCACCTCATTTCTTGAACTGCTATTATATCCATTCTGTAATCCGATAACTCACGGGTCATTGCTTCAGCTCTATAAAGGGTTTGTACATTCCTTTTTCCAAGTCTGTGTAGTCCTTTAATGTTCCAGTTTGGTTGTCCATTCAAATCCATCTGAAATCAAGGCTTAGATATCTGTTTCATGATGAAATGAAGTAAAATATATTAAATTCACTTGTAGAAAATCAAGATGTATGCCGGATATGTATAGTATGTAATGTTTCCAAAAGCATGTAATAATTTCACTATTGTATTTGTTGCCAGGGACTTTTTAACCACAAGCTCAGCATAGGGAAGCCCAGCAAGCGCAAATATGAAAAAAAGGAAGGGAAAAGAGGCCGGAATGCTGACAGCAGTTTTGAAGGTCCACCACAAAAGAAATCTCTTCTCGACATGCAGATGTCTGAAAGACCAGCCTGCAAATTTTATTTGGAAGGAAAATGTGCTAAGGTGAGATATTTGTGTAATCATATATTCATCTGGCCCTAATGAGATGAGCATGAGGTATTGAAAGAGAAGAGTGAAATATTTCCTTCATAGAAATGAAACTTTTATGAAATTCATACTATAGGGAGACATAAAGGCAAGCAAGCAATAGAGAGACAAGAGTCTAGAACCAGCATATCTGTTCTGGTTCACTCGGTTCTAGTCATGCTGATATGAAGTAATTTGACTCGCTATGTACTAGTCTGTTTCTAGTGATGCCTACACAAGATAGTATCAAGTCAGTTGGCACACCAGGTAAACCCATTCACTCCCAGTAGGTTACGGTTGTCTGCCTAGTCTTGTGCTGGTAACCACATTAGGCTGCCTTGATTTGGGAGCTGCACTGCACCATTGTGAGTCCCTGCCTATACGAAGAGTCCATGAACAAATATTGTGACTGAAATTTTGTTGAGACTTGAGAAGCTTTCTGTAAGCCAGTGTGTCAGTCCACGGTTGGCGGCAACATGTGAAAGATGTGCTGAAATATTAGTTGGATGAAATGCACGCACATCTGTATATCATAACACATTTAAATGTTGATTTTTGTGCACAATTGTAGTCTATCTCCAGATGTTTTGCAGTTTTATTTCCCTCATATACTTGTAATTTTATTTGTCTGTTGTAGGGTGGCATGTGTCCATTTAACCATGATGTGGAGAAACCCAAGAAGATGGAGGTCTGCAAGTATCACTTGACATTCAAAGGTTGCGTCAGACAGACATGCCAGTTCATGCATCATATCCTTTTTGTTGTTGGAAAATATTGATATTTGTATACTTTGCTGGGAAATATAGATGTTTGTACACTTAGCTAATAGTAAACCAAAATATAAACTTCTAGTGCTGGAGCTGTTTGCAAATTTTGTAACAGTAACTTTTTATATTTTTAATTTGTAAATAGAAAAAGGAAAACAATGAAAGCTTTATCATATTCAGTCCATAATGGTTGCTATGTTTTACATGTTTATGTTGTGTAATCCGTTTGGTAAAGTTTAAGTTCCTGAGTTTTAAATAACTTAACACATGTTCGGAAAACCACTGAAATCTTCCTCAATTTTTAGTGATCAGTTTAGTTAGTTCACTAAAGAAAATTAATCTTCTTCACTGAATCTGCAGTGTTAGAAGTCATATCTATCTACAGCCTTTTCTGGTATATACTTTCATTCAGTTCTGACAGATGATCTTTCAGGCCATAATGTCAAACTGGTCAGCATCTTCTCTCTCGATCTCCCTCTGCCTTTTTCTAGTTGATCTTTCCCACTGTCATGATGTACTCCAGTTTTCTCCTTCATAATCTGAAATGCGGTAATGACCCAGGTAAATGACTGACTACTACCTCATCGTGGGCAAAACTGAATTATCTGTAGTCATCGACTTTAGTTATTATTCTTTTAGTCCATAGTGTGTGGGGCATTGATCATTATGCCTATCCAGAACCTGCTGTTTTGATTACTGCCAAACTGTCCAACATCCCCTTTCTTGGTCTCCCTGTGACTCTCTTCCCCTCCAGTTTCCAGTTATCACAATATACCTCAGCTTTGACATTCTGGTGACAAACCTAATAAAGGTGGATTATGATATACCTACAACAATCTTGAAAAGCCTTGACAAAATATGGAGCTCCAGGTTATACAGCTTTGAGACCAAACTACGAATCTTCAGTTTTAACGTTATGTCAGCTTTAACATATGCCAGCAAAAGTTGAACTGCCAAAGAAATGGAACAAAAATTAAGTGCATTTGAAAATAGTAGAAGTACCTGGAGATTCCTCTAATTTGAAACTGGCAACATTTTTTACAATTCATTGCCTTCATGTTGCCTTTTTAAGTTGTTTAATTTCAAACATTAAATGCTTCAAAGGTTTATAGAATGTTTTAGTATTTGATATTCCATGTATATTTTAAAAAATGTAGATGATAGTGTAGTTGCATTAAAATAATTAGTAGTATATTGTAGGTAACTGAAATACTTAACAATAGTTGGTAGCTACAGGATGAATAGATCTTCAGTGTATTCCTTAACCATTGCTACAAGATTTCCCATGCAAGTATTACCACACTGGTGGCAAATGCTTTGCTGGTGACAGGTGCAAGTTTTCCCATGATCCCCTCACTGAAGCAACTCGGAAAGCATTAGAGTTGAGAGTTGCAGCTGAAGACGTGAGTTTTGTTTGTTGATGTTTGTTTATAAATGTTATCTGTTTTAATTCATAACATTGATGTTATATGTGTATGGTTGATGAGTATTTTGTTACGGTGTAATAAACTTTAGAACATAGCATATTTTATTTATGAATATTTTGGAGGGTAACCATGGGAGAAAAGGGTAAACGAATGAACTAGGCAAAAATACGTCATTGTAAGAATTACGGCAACAAACTGGAATATTCAGATGTTATTTTTTCATCTCTAGTTTTTAGTAAAACTATTTAACTACTATTTGAGCACCCCTTTATTGACGTTTTTGTTGTTGTTGTTTAGGTTTTGGCTTATGGCACAGGTTTCCAACCCATGATTTGCGACCCCCATAAAGGGTTGCGAAGAGTTTTCTATGGGGTAGCCGGATAGGCTATGGAGTTTTTTTTTAAGACTAAACAAAGCATTGTGTCCTACTATTTTTGCGGAATGCAAGTGCTGCTCCGCTCATGATTAGTCCATTCTTAGTTATTTATTATACTGAAAAATTTATTTTCAGTGTTTTATTTACCCCATTTAAAGCCTGTTTTAGTGTATGGGGTCGCCTTTCATTTCATGCATTGGTCTTAATTTTTCAACATAAAAAAAAATTCTTCACACTTCAAGATTTACTAATTTATATTACAGGAAAAACTCAATTTGTTTGTGGTGTTAATATTACTTCTCTTCTCTTAATTTATGGCCCATCTAGTCTTATAAATGTTATGCAGAATTCCCATCACTTTAAAAAAAAAAGCTACATGGTCAGTGCGTGAAATTGTACTACACTGGCTTGTACAGGGTTGCTGTTGTAGCTATAAACTGATGTAATAAGTTTAAGGTTAAATCATTAGACTTGATTTGGGTTTCTCTCTTATCATTGGCTACTTTTGCAAGTCAACTTGCATATAATAAAATGTCAAACTCTCTTCAGATAATTAACATGGAGGATCCAAGTAGCAACAGCGAGCAGAGACTGAGGGAGGCCAACAAGTCCAGTTTGTTAGGTAATTTCTTTACACAAGATGATTAAGATGTAAATACTTATTTGTTAAAAACGGTCAACATTGCGCCAGGTTTTATCAGCTATGCTTGGTCTCAATCCATTGCTCCAGCTGCAACCTCCAGGGACCTCTGAAATACTTGTGTTCCCAAACTGGAGGGCACAAGTTAGAGAATCAACCAAAACCTTCATAGTAAGAGGCAGATGGCTTAGACACTTTGCCACAGAGACCCTTTTATCTGTTTACAACAGTTATGTGTATTACTAGGCTTAGACACTTTGCCACAGAGACCCTTTTATCTGTTTACAACAGTTATGTGTATTACTAGTGTGACGTGACAGGGAGGATTACATGTTTTATAAGTTGAGTAGGGATTTTCCTCTCAACACATTCCCTCCACCAGATTAACCGAACTAATATCCGGGCTATGTTGCTCTCAGACAAAGTCCTGGATATCCAAGAAAACAGCCATATTGGCTCGTTAGGTACATTAACATTAGCTGCACTTGGTACCCACAAGAGAAGGAAATGGGTTTTAGATGTCTATATATTATTATTTTGAATGATTTACTAGACAGGGCAGTTGACCTAATCCGTCGACCTTCTCTTGGAAAAAAAATTAGTATTATTTAATGAGCCCCCACCAAATGCTATTCTGTCTTAACAGTTTAATTAAACATGTAAGAACAGACACACTTGGAATTACAAAAACTGATGCAGGATAAGACCATATAATTGATTTATTAACCTAGCAATCATTTTGATTATTTATATTTTTAGTCAATAGTGATGGTATGGTGGTAATGAGATGCTTCAGCTAACTGAGCACTTAAGAGTAGAATGAATGATAATGGTGGTGTTTAGTTACATAAATACATGTCACATAACGTTTTAGAAAGTGGAACCTCTGAGAGTCCTCGTGTTGAGTCCCTTCTTAGCTGTTCCAACCTTTCCGCCCAGTTCTCCTGGTTCCTCCACCTGGTTCCCACCTCTATCCCAGCTGGCCGAGTTCTAACACAATGTAGTCTCGTGACCGTGTTGACCCTCTATTTCTGTTTTTAGAAAAGACTGATCCGCACCCACATGGGAGCTGTAATAATGGAAACAAACACATATGTGTAGTATCTTGACTTATACTAAGAATACATGTGTCAATTAATACAACATATAATAATACATTATATCTCATCACTTCTCCTCATATTCCACATTCTCTCCAGTCTGTTCTGAAGGTCTTTGTGTCTCACACCAACGTCTAACATATCCTGCCTTCCCTCTCATGTTCTGTCATGATAGTTGACTTTCTGTTGTCCGTCATCACTCAGACTTCCAACTTGCTGACATTGGTTTGACATAAACATGTGGCGCAGGTTATGTGCTGAACACGCAAAAGGTTTTATACCTGCATGCTGTTTGAATATTATCTTTCAGAGACAGTGAATAATATACACTCATGATTCTTCCCCTGGGGTTATAAATCCCCTCATTAGGTGAGCACATGGTGGGAACACAAAACGTAACAGCATAGCTGCATATGTGGGCATCATTTCCCACAGTTGATGGTTGAAACATTATAGTTTCATTACATTTCAGTATACAAGTCTTATTTTATAAACATGAAAACATACACTGAAAAACATGTGCCACAAACATACAAGAAATAGAAATAGTTTAGCAGTTCCCTAACTGAGATACTGAATACTCACAAAGAAATATTTCAAGCAGAATGTGTAGACAAATTAGGAAAAGGTAGAATAGATTTTAGCTAACTCCCTAACCTATGTATACAAGATTAAAAATAATTGTACATGCTTACCTGGGAACTTCCAGCAATCGCCAGACTAGAATCCTCAATTAGAATTACCTCTAATTTGCGACCTGAGTTTGTTGCTCGTGGCTGCTATTATAACGGGAATTCCACAGGCTAGTATTATTAATACCCCTATCAGTCTGCAAGGTTAAACTCCTCCCTTTACTAGGTTCTACCCAACCCTCCAGGAGATGCCCTAAGCCACGCCTCTGAGGAACCTAGCTATCAATGGGCCTGTCACTCACAGTGAACGGCCTACAGTACGACCTTGACCAAGATTAGACATTCATAATTGCCAAACATCTGTTCTCTTGAGAATTTCACTATCATGTGTGAAACTTCAGACGCTGGACGCCATCCTGTCTAGAAATGTCTACCAGACCACTTAATTCCCCTGATCTAGCGGTTCAAAGGCCCCACTCAGTCTGTGTAATGTAACTTTTATGACACTACGGTCGGGTTCAGGGGAGCTAATCTCAGGTGTGACAATAAGTTATTTCCCCCTTCCTCGCCTCTACAGTCAGGTCAGGAGATAACATTTATGACATTCACACGAGAAAGGAATTCCTAGGCAAGGTAATATTACCTAAAGCAAGGTTGCTTTGTCTGGCTAGAGATTGGAAACGCAGTTTAAACAATTTTCAAATCCCTTTTGGTGGATTTAGAAATATTTTGGGCTCAGTGTCTATTGCTTATAATTCTTTGTCCTTCTCTGAACATAAGAAATTATTAAACACAATATAACTTCTGAGACCACTGAGGTCATTTGTAGACACTTTGCCACAGAGACCCTTTTGTTTACAACAGTTATGTGTATTACTAAGAGCGCTAGTTTCTGGTTCTCTGTATTAACAATAATAATTTCAGACACTGTTTCATGGTTATTGTTAGTTTGAGTATGGAGCGGAATGCAGGATAATGACCAAAAAGGATGCATATAAGCTGTCCACCTTCCACCACACGTCTACGTAGAATTATCAAAATTTTCTGGCCAGATACAATCTCAAACACTAAACTACTTCAAGTCACAAACCAAGAAACTTTAGACAGTATGATAACCAAGAGAAGGTGGAAATGGCTTGGCCACGTTAGGAGAATGAATCCTGATGTACCTGCCAAAACAGCTCTCACATGGACACCAGAGGAAAGAGAAAACAGGGGCGCCAAAAAACAACATGGAGACGAACAATGGAAAGTAATCTGAGTGCTGCATCATTGACATGGAAAACTGCACTGAAGATTGCACAGGACAGGAAAGCATGGAATCAGGGAATCACAGTTCCAACTTCATAGCAGATGGGTCACCACATGTGCCAACGTAAACCACACAGAATGTCCATCACTGTCAATTGTGGAAACAGTTGACACAGTCTGTAATCTCAGCAAGTCCAATAGCATACATACACAAAAGCATAAAGCAGCCACCAGAAGTGCCAGCACAAACAGTCCAACACTAGTAATTCAGTATAGCATCAATGAAAGCAGAAGTTTCAATAGATCAGTAATTGCACATGCAAATCGTCTAAAGCACAAGCTCTTTGGCAACAGGCCACTCGCCATTTTCTGAATCTACAGTTCACAAAACCACCCATTGAGTGCTGATTGGTCTATAAAATATTGGTCTAGTCCTATATGTCCCATACGCCCGATGGCGTGCAAAAGGGTTCTGTGCGTTTTTTTTTTTTTCCCATATGAAAATTGTCCTTAACGGAATTCGCATCCCACAGTGTTTTGCGCCATACACTCAGTTCAGTAGCTGGGTAATTAAACTATATCCTTTCAGTCTACATATGGAAGAAAAGGCAATGGCCACCTGTTATAGGCAAATATTTGTTACAGCTAAAAATAAAAACAGTAAACCGCCTATCAACATATTTACTGGAAGTCTAATGTCTATTGGGAACATGTAGGCCCAGCTCCGCCTAGCTGCACGCTTGTGATAAGTCAGGCCAGGACACCATGATTGGACGTTCATTCATGCGTCTTCACATTTGAAATGCACAGGTTCAAGTGACAAGGGTGTCAGCTTATTGTGATGTTGTATTGCGCCAGTGCTGTTACCGGCGACCACAGGTGCTCTGTATTACAGGATGTAAGTGCTTTTAACGAGCCCATAACATGTACAACTGGCTCTAACCCCAACCTTCCCCCACCCACACACCACGCGTAGAGAATTTGTGACACCCCTCTAACTCCTTGAGCAACACTGACCAGCCTGAGGAAGCATTAATGAAAGGCCAGCTAGTGTGTAGATGGGCCTGAGTTCGTCACTAGTAGTGTCTATTGCAGGCTGTACATATTATAATGTTTCTCCTTTCTATCCTGATAGGATCCCCACCGCAGCTGAGACCTGAACTAAAAAAGATTCCGTCTTTGCTTGACATAGAAGTGCATATGCCAGGACAGTCGCCTAAAGCGTCACCACAGATTGTTAGGTTTGTTACTTGCATTGAAAATGATTCTGTTTTTCATCTCTTTGCAGAGGGATAATCAGTTTTAATATCTCCCTCTATACGGTCTCTGAAGAAGTAAAAGTTATAATCCAGTTATGTGTGAGGGGGAGGGGGGCGATGGTTGGAAATGGTACATCGTAAAAGGTGACGACTGATCAAGACTTTGCTGAAAGTCGCATATATCACTGCCTAGCTGTAAACCTCAATGTAGTGTGCTGACCTCCCTTGTTAAGGCAAGGCTGGAGCAGAATAAAGCCACTATTCCTGAATTTTCTCATCTTTATATAAAATATTTGCTATAGCTATTCTGGTGCAACAATTACACAGGATTTAGTATCCACACTGACAAGGGCTGGCTCATTAACAAGCTGGTATCTCTTCACCAAGAACATTCCTTTTCTCTAAAGCAGCGCTTCCCTATACATTCGGCACACTTTTTTTTTCAAGCAGTGATTTGATTCAAGAACCGACATCACAGCACCCGGGGCATTCCTATCTTCAGCAGCCAGTGAAGAGTTCTGATACTAATGGTGCCAGTAGCATTCTGATTAAACGTCCGTCTTGCCTTTCCTCTGAGTCTCGAGCATCTGCCAGAATCTCTCGTCACCCCCAACTGCATCAATCTCACCAGACTGTTGTGATCTATCTGCTCCTCCGAACTGTACAAGCTCTCCCACAAGGCACTAACCACGTCTGCCTTATCATGCGTCAGTATTCCACCAAGTTGTGCAGAGCCAGCCAGTCTGTCCGCCTGTTCATTTCCCAACATACCGGCATTCCCTGGTGAAAAAAATCCAGACAATACTCCTCACCCATGTCTTCCGCAGCGAGGCATGCCACTCTGCACAAAGCAAGCCTGTCCTGATAAGCAAGCACAGAGCACGTGTCCCGTAACTCCAGCGACGATTAAAGCAATGATTTACGGAAATATACCCATATTATGCGAACAGATAGATGCGGGGACAGATTTGTCAGATTTTTTCTCTACAACATGGTAAGGAAAAATGTAAATAAGTTGCCTAATGGCTTGAAATTGTTTTAGAAAAATAAAATGTTTGACTTGATGGTAGCAGAATTCACTTTGGGTTAGTTGTGTATCCTTTACAGAATGTTGCAGAACCAACCCAAGCATTTTTTGGCCGTCTTGGTTTTTCTAGGGAAATTTTACGTTCAGTAGTTTGCCGTTGCTTTCTGAATCTTTAGCTCTCAGTACCACTGTCAAAACCAACGCAGGACAAATCGTCCGCAGCTGGGATCGGGCCTGGCATTACGACGCATGTTTGCATTGTCTAAGCCACAAGCACTGACACATCTTGCACAAATTCATAATCAGTCAGTACTTAGTTCGTAAAGAGTGAGATATAAGTGCCACAGACAACATTTATTGTTTTGAAAAACCTGCCTAATGTGTCGTGAAATTATGTCTACAATTTAGTTTGCAATCCAAGTTTTAAAAATAGTGGTCTCAATGTAAACTGGGGGGGGGGGGGGGGACTGGGGGGGGGGGGGGGGGGGGGGGGATGTATGTAAACATGTCAGTCCACCTTATACAACCAACAGTTCAAAAGAAAAAAGTACCATTTGACTGACTGACTGACTTTCTACACCACCAGAACATCACACAAGCGATAAACACCCGATGACACAAAGTGCCACCATGTGGATGAGGATCGCCGTTTAGAGGTCCCAGAAACTGCGTTCAGACAATTGGCCATATTTATGGCCTGCCTATATTGCGGCCCCTGGCAAAAGTAGGGTGGGGCTTCAAATAACTTCCTCCAAAGAAGGACGAAACTGGGTAATATGATGAAAGTTGAAGTACCATTTGACTTGACTTTGTACCCCACCAGGACATCACACATGCGATAAACACCCGATGACACAAAGTGCCACCATGCGGATGAGGATCACCGTGGAGAGGTCCCAGAAACCACGTTCAGACAATTGGCCATATAGATGGCCTGCCTATATTGAGGCCCCCGGCAAAAGCCAGAGTGGGGCTTCAAATAACAAAAAATTACGTCCTAAGAAGGACGTAATAATACAAGTTAAGTACTATTTGGATTGGATTTTTTACCCCACCAGGACATCACACAAGCGATAAACACCCGATGACACAAAGTGCCACCATGCGGATGAGGATCACCATGGAGAGGTCCCAGAAACCGCGTTTAGACATTTGGCCATAATGATGACCTGCCTATATTGCGGCCCCTGGCAAAAGCCAGAGTGGGGCTTCAAATAACAAAAAATAACGTCCTAAGAAGGACGAAAAGCAGTAATAAAGTACTATTTTCAGAACAACATAAGGTGTACATGAAACATTTTGAACAAAACATCTTGACAATGAATGTTTTCCTAATTCTCCCTTCCCTGTTTTTTTTTTTTTTTTTCAACAGGCCATCTGGTTTCTATAATGATACAACCGAAAGCTCTGGGCCAGGACCTATTAACAGTGTGGGACTAATGAAGAATGTCATAGCTAGTAGTCTCCACAGCCAGCTTTTAAATAAATCTGGCGGTGGTGCAGGGTTACTTCCCCTGCCTGTAAGGCCAGGCTTCATGGGCAGTCAGCCAGGCCTGAACCCTCAGCATCAAAGGTTTGGTTTAGGAGCTTCTGTTCCAATGAAAACCACTCAGCCGCCACAGACTGGACATATTTCTCCTGTTCTGAACATGCTTGGCGCCATTATTCGGGAAGCAGCCACACAGAAAGGACCAGATAGCCAAAGCAGTTTGATGCCCAAGGTTAGCATGGGTGTCAGCGGCATGAGCCCAAGCTTGAATAATGGGGATCACAATAAAATGGCTGTACAGAGCATTGCCAGTAATACAAACAATTTTGGGTCTGTGAACACTGGTTTTGATAAGGCAGCAAACAGTATTGCCAGTTATGGAAAAATGGGCTCTATTGAAAACTTCAGCCAGGACAAAGACATAAAATCAAATGTCAAATTGAACCAGATTGTTAGCAGTAGCAAAACTGCTTCATCAGGTCAACGGAATATGCTAGAAGAGTCCTGTAAAACAGAGGCTGGTGATACAAGTCAGAGAAATTTTGATGACGCGGAAGAAAGCCAAGATATTTGCGAGCTGAACAAAATTCGGCAGCAAATACAGGCACAGATTGATGAAGAAGAACAGAAAGAAGTTGCTGAAGGTGAATGTGAAGAACAGAAGATTCAACTACAAGAGAAACCTCCTGCTGACATTCAGGAAACAGAAGGTAATCATTGACATTTGTCATCTTCAACTGTGTTTTAAGTATAGTTTTATTTTTAACTTTTCCAAAACTCAGCTTGTAAGTAGTCGTAATTTACATCTACTGTTTCATTGATGCTGTATTTAATTGTGAATAATTGATTTCCTCCGAAGTCGGAGTACATCTGCCGGAGAGGCGGGGAACGAGAACTGCAAACAAATAAGCCAGTAAAACGGATGTACACGCTGTCACATATCACTCCTGTCGCGTGCCTAATGTAAGGATTTCTCCTTCAGAACTAGCAGCACTCAGAGATAATTTTGTTGAGTCGTTTGGCTCGTATTGGTCTAAGGGATTCCCCGTGGCCAATATACGATCAACTTATCTCTGGAGTAGGGCAACTCAAGTATTGGCACTACAAAATATGTCAATATATATATATATATATATTTCTAGGCACACTTGGCTGGACACCCCCACTACTTACTAAAGAAAGCCCCCAGGTTATGATAGTTCATTATCATAACCATGTTAACACATATAATGAAGATACATACACATACAACTGCTAAACACTTAAGAAGGTGACATAGAGAAACCTAAGTCAGCCATGAAAATGAATGCATGTATTTAGTATAATATCTGTACAAAAACAATTGAAGTGAATTCCAGCTATCAGTGAAAGAATTTCAGCACTAATGTCTAGATCCTAAGGAAACTAGGCAGACAGCCGGTCCTGGAGGTGACTATATGTCATCATGGGAACCAAGGAGCTGTGAGGAAAACAACATCATGCGAAGTATCAGACTTAGCTTCTCTTATCTCTGTCTATGATGCCTCCCTCAGCTCCGGATGATTTGACTGTCTTTGACTCTGGGAATTCTGCTCCACTGGATCAAGTAGCAAGAGTACTTCACTGTACAGCAACTGTACTGGTATCTAGCATGTCTATATCACCAGTAAGGACACACAATGTCTTAGAGCCACATTACTCTGGCACTGGTAGCTGTTTGAGGCACAATCTCCCCCATTTTTGGAGATGTCAGGAACCTTCACAGGTGTTAGCTGGTGGGTAACAAGTTGGTTCTGGTAGTTGGATGTTGGTGAGTGGATGTTGTTGAGACTGTGAATCTTCTGCCAGCTCTTCCGAAAATATACATCCTGTCAAGAAAATAACTCAACATTAGTCATCATCAAGAGGGTAACATCTTGACAGGAAAGACAGAGCAAGCATAGTCATCAACTCCCATCTGCTGACTCCTCCCTGCTCTCCTGTTTCATTCCTCAGATTGTCTCTCCAGACCAAAAGCCATAAGTCTCCTATATTTATCTGTCTGTTTAGTGCAAGAGAAGGCAAGTCAGATATGCAGTGGAGATAGATAAAGTGGTCTAACACATATATCATCTCCCCCTATCCCCCTCACTCTGCACACAAACACCAATATTTACTGTCAGTACCTGCATTCACTAGTTTTCCCAACCGCCCCAGCACTCATTGATCTGGGTCAAGCACACACATACTTTGATTAACACAGCCCTGACCCAATTCTGTCCCCATCTCGTATGTACAGATTCTGTAAGTAGTTTAAAACGTACACAATTGTAAGGGCATTAAATGTTTATCAGTATGGGTGGTTTATTGAGGGCATAAGCTATTTAGTCTGTACAGTGGAAGATCTACGTTCGAATCCGCTACTCTAGCGATCAAGAATGGTAGAGCTAAGTGAGATCACACAGCCGATATGGATTTCTCTACAGCAGTGACTACTTTACAGACAACATTCTAGGTACTCGTAAACTATAATTAACTTACCCAAGCATATGTAAAACTGAGCCCTTTCCAGATTGCCTTGAAAATTTAAAGTATACAGGCACAGATTAACACATCTGGAGGCTTGAGAAGCTGGCAAGGAGAATGGCGTCAGTTAGACATTTCAGGCGTTGGTACAAAAGAAGTTCCTTGTATACTGGGGCAAGGAGTAAATCGGTTTCCAAGAAACCTCAATTAACTTCCTAAATATATCCCCAAAAGATATACATTTAAAAGTGGAGTTTAGTTAAAGTAACCAGAAAAGGCAGACATAATAATGTTGTCCAATACAGGCCTATATATATAGATATAAGGGACTATATATTTCTGGGCGAGTCCAAGTTTGAATTTTGTGCAGATTACAGGTAAGACAGGTTATCAGCCTTACAAACCGATGTGTAATGACTATCATTTCACGACACACGCAAAACTCAGGTCCAGGTAAAAGCCAAAAGTCCATTTTGGACGAACAACCGCGACTTACCGCCGGAATTCACAGCCGGTGAACAAGAAGAAGAGTAATTGATTGGTTCCTTTTTGAGAGGTGTCATGGCTGAGAGGTTGAAGTATTTGCACAAGCTGAGAAATACCCAGATTCAAATTCCAGCATAGAAACGGTCACTTTGTAGGAGAACTGTGGATTTTAAATATCACATCTCCGATCTCTTGGGTTTTGAGACTGAATACCTGGTGCTTAGGATGCGGGGCGAAATACAAGAGGTCATGTCTGCAAGCTGTATATGTTCGAAATCACAGTACAGTTGAAATCACCAAGTAGGCTCCTCAAGCTCTGCCTTGATAAAATTAGGAACAAACAGGAACCTGTTGGTATTTAGTCCATGACCTTAGATGGAATCTATCTTATGGAAGTAAACTTCCCAAAATTAGATGGAATCTATCTAATGGAAGTAAACTTCCCAAAATTAGATGGAATCTATCTAATGGAAGTAAACTTTTCAAAATCAGAAACTGTCTTGACATTCAGGCCACAAATTGGACTTTTGATACTATAAATTATTTGATAGACTATTGTACTTGGGATTTTTTATATTAAATTCTTCCATAACTGATCATCCTTATTTGTTATTGTGGTTATACTACATCACATTCGTTTACTGACTGTTATTTGGTGGTCATTGCTGTTATTCTAAACCTCACTGATTCTTCCCTGTTTTCCCTGCCTCTTTAGGTCTGATAAGTTGCACACCTTAACTGCGAGAGAGACCTTGCTCTGTGTGGCCACATAACAACAGCTCCACTTGTGTTTAGATGCTTTTTGACTGCTCCATTCTATCATTGTAGCATAATTCCTAGCTGCTAAGTTTTACATTTTTTTTGGGTGTAAATTATTTTGTGAACTACTTTTCTTCCCAGCTGATATAATTTCTAGCACTTTGTTTCATATTCTGAGATTGTCCCCTGCGAAAAGCAGTCAGTCAGCCATGGAGGCTCCTTAACAGCTATTTCATATCTCATCAGCCTTCCTGAAGAGCCATCTTTCATCCTGAAATGACAGTCTCTGACAAGGAAACTTCACAGAGGAAAAGGAAAGGAAATGCACAAAAACTATCAAACGATTTGACTGCAGCCACCCTTTTCTTTTTTCAACATATCAGCTCCAGTGTAGTTACCACCGTTTTTTAAATCTTTTGCTTAGATGGCTTCTTTTTATTGCCTTGTTTTTGATTGTTTGAATTTCTACTGATCTAGAATATCTGTTTCAGTTCCTCTATTAGCTTATTATATTGTTCCTTGTATACTTTTGTTCACCCCATCTCGGGCCTCCAATATTTCACGGGGAGTTCCCAGGAGAGTCCAGTTTTTGTTGGGGGGGTGGGGGGGGAGAGGTTGGGTTAGTATTAGTCTATGTTCATGTCAAACCCTAACACCCCTATACTATTAGACTTTCCCGGGAACTGCCCACGAAATTACAGAGTCTCCGAGATAGGGTGAATTGAAAGAAAAAGACCGTACATTGCTTTTGTCTCATGTTTAATAATTCCAAATATCAATGTTATATAGCACGTTTGTTGTATTTATTTGTTATTTGTATTAAATTGTGTCTGCAGGTTTGAGCACTTGTAACACTGTCTTGGTGAAAAAGGAAAACGTAGAAATTCCCACACATCTGCCTAAAACACAGCAAGAGCTTTTCAAGAGAATACAACAGCAACAGTTACTTCGGGAGACAGAACTGGACAAACAGAAAACATGTATAACTGCAGAAGAGAGTAAAGCCAAAGGTAACAATTTACTTATCTTTAATAACGAGGCATGCTTCAGTCATTTTTAACATGGATGTTTTGTAATGTAAAGGGAGATAAAATGTGTTTAGGTTATGATAGGTTATCTGTAGTGTTCCAACTGCACAGCAGATGGGTATTTCCGTAATTAATTCCAGTGCCCTGAACACCACACAAAATGCCTATCATTGTCCCATTATCATAGACAAGACAGAGGTCCCAGCACAGTCCAGCATGCATCATTGATAAAAGCCAACATTTATGAGAAACCCGCAAGAGACAAGACAGCAGTCCCAGCACAGTCCAGCATGCGTCATTGATAAAAGCCAACATTTATGAGAAACCCGCAAGAGACAAGACAGCCGTGCCAGCAAAATCCAGCATGCGTCATTGATGAAAGCTACAATTATGAGAAAGCCACAGGAGTAAATTTGTTATTGCATAAAGGAATGCGTTTTTATGCTCTATTTCTGCATTCTTTAAAGCATCTGTAGCTTATTTATATACATTTTCATGCTCATTATGTGTGCACAAACTTTGAAATATTGAATCTAGATTTGTAGTTGACCTAGAGACTTCATTTAAATTGCAAATTTTTCTATTTCATAAGGCCTGTACAAACAATTTCATGGGACACAGCATAAAAGAAATTAATTTTGGAAAATTCAAAACAAATTTTAGATCTCAATATAAGAAAATCTGACACACATAAAGAGAATGACAATGGTTAAGAGCATAGCTTAACTATATCTGAGCATGTAAACAAACTTTTAGCTGTATACATCAAATACTGGGAGTTGCCGTGGCCGAGCGGCTAGACTCTCGCCGCGGATCGGAAGGTCGTGGGTTCGCTCCCCAGTAGAGCCGGACTGTTTTCATAAATGACCTTGGCTCCCAGGTCGACCCAGCCTTGAGTGGGTACCGGGTGCAGTCCCGGGAAAGTGAAGGCGGCCGGCGTGATACTGACCACATCACCCATCTTGTGCCGATTGGTCTATAAAAATATAGGTCTAGCCCTATATGCCCTATACGCCTTAAGGCGTGGAAAAGGGTCCTTTACTTTTTACTTTTTTTTTTAGATCAAATACTATTTTTTTTAGCAGGATTGTCATCGCAACTGCAACTAAATTACTCACAATTACTTATCACCAAAATATGTACCTTTATCAAATGGAAATAAGTATGAAATTAACATATATAACTTTATTTCTCTGTGATTGATTGTTTATAAGATAGATAAAGAAGGCACTTGCAAAATTTTATTAATATCTGACCATATTTAGATATCTTTAACAGTTAGCAAAAACGTTTACAATTAATGATTTTCCCCCTTGTTCCCTCCCCTTAACTATTCTGATTTGCATAATTTATGCAAGCTTTTTTTTTTTTTTAACTTGGGAACAAACAAAAATTTGGGTGCATTTTTTGATTGATGAACCCTGTATAAGTCCTAACACTTGTGTTTTGTGAAGTAAGGCCCATGGAGGCCCTTCAGATACTTCTGTCACGTGGTTCTACTCCTTTTCCTACCTCCTGCTATGTGTTTGGTTACTATGACGCAACAGTCGTTTTTGCCATTGTTGGGCACAGGTAACCCCACAGAAAGAAAAAAAAAAGATGTAAAATTAAAGAAAACATCAGGCTTTCTCTAAAGCCGTCATTGAACAGCTGAACAGCCCACATGTGCAAGAAATAGAAAAAGCAGTCTGACTGGCTGGTACAAAAACCTGCCATGCCAATCTCAAAGGCTTGAATTATATAGGGTTAACTGATCGGCTCAGTCGTCTTTTGGGCTATTTTATTTTGGACCAATAAAGCAGCCTGCGCCGCCTCCAAAGGGTTAAGGACAAACAAACGTAGAAGAAGAAAAGGAGTCAGAGGGATGTAAGGTATTTAAAATCAACGTAGATACTCCCCCCCCCCCCCCCCCCAAAAAAAAAGTGGGGTACTGTAGTGGTGCCATGTTATTTTTTGCACTGCCACGGTATGATTTTAGAATTGCTTTTTAAAAACTTGCACTCAGAAATTACAGGATAAAACTTTGCAAAAAATATACGTGAAAATGAGTGCCAAACTTTATTTTACTGGACTTGAAGAGTTGAAAAGCTAGGGAAAAAAGTTATTTAAAGGTATATACTTTGTAGAAGGCTAACCAAAAACACTTGAGTCATGCACAATAGTCAATATCACTGCTGACAGGCTTTATGTACTCAAAGAAGCATAGGTTGAAATCACAGTTGTCGATTCTGCGTATTTTGTGATTTATTAGTAATTACTGATTTTTATTTTACGTTTGCAAAAGTGTTGTTAATTTTAAGACGCACTTTTCTAATATTTTACTTGACATGACACCACTTTCAGTGTGAGATAAATCTCTTTCTAGCATAGTGACAATGGTAGGAATTCTGAGCCTTGCCTCTCACACAGTATGACATAGGGCAGAACCGTGAAGTACCGCTAACAGGTGATGTTGCAAACAAATCTGTTGGTCCAGGGCTGAGTCACAGCAGTTTGTAGTAAGGTGGTTGCCCAGCTGATTACAATACCCCTACACCTGATTGGTGGACATTTGAGCCTAATCAGTAAGACTTTGACATACATTTGAACCAAGGGTTGTCATTTAATGGTAAGTTTGGCCAGTGGGCTTAACTCATGTTCCCGATGAGTTTTGATAAACATTATCACCCATGCACTTGGGGCGGGCTGATAAGAACCAGAGTCTTTTTGGGCACTGCATCTCTTGGGGCCACCACCTCTAAGATCCCCTGCCAGCTCTGTTCATACTCATTATCCATGGTACACGACGTGGACATGTGGCAGGAGTCTTGCATACAGATGCAAAAAACCAGCACAGGGAGGCACTGAGCTTCTCATACACATCACAATGGCCTTTACTTTCCCTTATGCTTGTGACCTAAATCCCCATGTCACAACCTTACATTCCAGGTGCCTGCATTGCTAACTTTCTTGTAACTCAACTTCTGCTCATTGTGCGCCATATTTATTGTCTCTAAATGTGTGTGCTACGTGACTTGAACAGTTTATCTTTCACCAGATGTGGATGATTGGTATTCTAGTGATGAGGATGAGGAAGGAGAAACTAAACCTAAACTGACAGATGTGTTGAAAAAGTTGAACCAAGATGTGAGTAGTTTTTGCTTTTCTTTTTTTTAACTTCTTGCAATTCATATTGTATTATGAAATCAGATAGCAACATTTAGAGGCATTGCTTCTTTCTGTTGGGAAAATTTAGTGACTGTTCATGTGTGCTGTGAAAGATTTTTGCGCCAGAGTTTACAGCTGATGAACGTGAGAAGAAGAAAAATGTGCTGTACATTTTATTTAGCTGCTGTAACCATGTAGTGCAGTCTTCGTATAGTCCCTGACCAGGTTTCAGCGGCTCCTACCCGGAGGAAATAGAGTATGAACCTGTTTTTCAAATGGAGATATTTTTTGCTTTGCTATTGTTAAGGTACAGTAATTTCTTCACAATAACGCACCATCTCATAATGCTGGGACTTTTAAAGAAGTTTCTGGTGAACACCACCACCACCACTGACTTTACTCACCATTTCACCACCACTGACTTTACTCACCATTTCACCACCACTGACTTTACTCACCATTTCACCACCACTGACTTTACTCACCATTTCACCACCACTGACCTTACTCACCATTTCACCACCACTGACCTTACCAGGTCACGCAGCTGCCAACTACTTAAATACAATTTATTGACAGTTTGAAGATTCGCAGGGGAAGACCAGGTGAGCAGATGTCATACAGTTTTTATATTCATGGCATACAGGAGCATCATTATCAGAAATGATTAGCACTGCAGGAATGAAAGCTGTAGACATCCGTGATGACAGGCACCACATACCATGAGCTATAAGTTCTAACACCTGAAGAGAATGAGCCCATTAGCTTTCTTGTTGATACAGTGGACAGTTTTTCTGTTTGTTTCAGCCATCATCACATGCTTCTGGGCCATCAGCCGTGGAAACCCATATTACCAATCCACCTGAGCAAAAGACTGTGCCATCAGCCGCCTCCACTTTCAACATCATGCAGATGATCAATGCTATCAAAGTTCAGAGCCAGCTCTCCAAGCCAGAAATAGAAAATACTCAAACAACCTTCCAGCCATTGAAGTTGAGGTCAGGAAATATTGTGAATACTAACATCTAAATTGTGAAACATTGTCATCTAATCAATATATATTCAAAAGGTCGCAGTAGGAAATTAGTATCATGTGTGATGTAGCCACTTGCTGTTGTGAAGTATTAGAATTCCTTGAGTGAATATAACTGATTCACTGTAGAAGTATATAGTTAGTTAGTCTTTCCTCTTGTGTCGAGTGCGGCACATAGGGCAGAGGTCGCGACTCTCCATGCGCGGTGGTCCGTTGCAATCCGTTGTAGGTCTTGGATGTTTGAGTGGCCCATGAGCGAGCCTTCCCTGATGATAGTTCTACGTAGGGTTTCCCTTGGTCTTCCACGAGATCTTTTCCCCTGTGGTGTCCAAATGAGGGCTTGGTAAGGAAGTCTTGATTTATCCATTCTAAGGGCGTGGCCGACATAGTTCCAGCGATTTCCAGCTCTCGCATCCATAGGTTAGTACTGGAATCACACAAGAAGAAGTATATAGAACATGTTGAAATAGATTTTTCACACCTTCGAAAGCCTGATGTCTATCTGAAATTATAGTTATTAAGGAATGGTGCTTATTGTCACGCATACACCAAAAGAGGAAAGGGGCTTAGAACAGGAGGTAGACCAAGAAGAGGATGGAAAGAAGATGACAGTAAAATCAAAATACACCAAACTGAAAACAAAAAAGCAGCTAGTGATTTAAAGAGAAATTTAAAACTTGAAAATAGAGATTGGCCATTTGCAGTCAAATCGCATACTCCTTCTTCGTTTCCACTTTGACTGCTTCTGGTGTCAAGGGAGATACAAGATTCTGCTGCTTGCTCTTCTAGCCGCCTCAGCCATAGACACATCACGCTGTTGTCGAGTTCCGTGATGTTGTCTGTCCATCTCCTCTTTTGGTGAACGCCTTCTATGGTATGGCGTTATCACAAAGCATTCTGTCTGAGAGGGCAAACCATTTAGTTTGTTGTATTTGTATGTAATTTTGAATTGGTTCTCTTTTTCTCTAATGACCTCATTCCTTATTTTATCTCTTGTGGTAACTACTGAAGCCTTCTAACATCTCATTTCCGTGGTGACTAATTTTTTTATGGTTGTAAGCGATCCTATCTGGCACTGATAGCATAGGGTTGGATTGAATATGCTTTGTATGAGACGTTTCTTTGTGCTGATTGGGATTGTCTTGTATTGTAAAAAAAAAAGGGGGGGGGGGGTGGAGAGCTAGCTGTCCCAGTACTTGGTTTGCTTTATTGCATCACATGTTCATTTTATCATCTGATTTACCATCTTTGGTGAATGTTGTTCCCAAATATTTAGACTCACATGCCTGTTTATGCCACTCTATTACTGTATATAGGTTTTGCTTGTTTCTTCCTTTTGACTTTACTTCTGCCTGTTCAGTATTGATTCTCATATTGTTTGTTTTACCTTCTTCATTCATGGCTGCGTGATGTAGCACTTTCATTGTTGTATCTGCTATCAAGGCCTGGTTTTCAGCAAAGATTAATTTGTTGATGTTACTGATATTTTCATTTCTGAGCTTGGCAGCGTGGTGTATACTGTCGATATATGTGGTAAACAGCAATGGTGATAACACACATCCCTGCATTACTCTAGATGCTGCTATGAATGGTTTAGATGTCCCTTGGTTTATCCTAACTACACTTCTACAATCCCTATATATATATAGGGATATATATATATATTAAGAAAACTTTTGCACACTCTGATGAGGTGTTCGCTCTCTCCATATCAAGCCATTACTTTCCACAATACTTGTCTGTCAGCTCTGTTGAATGCCTTCTCCTGAATGTCACAAATCGGTTCTTATCATACTCGATGTTCTTTTTTACAGAGTAAAATGTTTGATACAGAAAGTTTGGGATTTAATATATTGTATTTAATTAATGGATATTTTTATATGTTGAAGAAAGATTTGTCTGTTCCAGTTTGCAAATGGTTGGACATTGTCAGATTTTGTGTGTGTGTGTGTGTGATGACTGTCTAGTTACTTAGCATTAACAAATGCTGATTACTTAACATTAGTTACTCAGCATTAACAAATGCTGATTACTTAACATCAGACAAGTTCTGGTTGCCGACCTCAAGCGCTGCATTTATTGATTCAGCTGCTAAATGCTTTAACAAGGACCAGCTCATAGTCATTATCCATCTGAGAATATTCATCTCATGCCCCCCCCCCCCCCCCCCTTTCCCCAACCTCCCCTTGTGGTTTCCAGAGCCCTGTTATTGGGAAAACAAGAATAGACTGCCTACCTACCCAAAAGTTTGTCGTAAAAGTCGAATAATTGAGAGCTTCCTTTTGAGTGTATCTGCCTGAGAGGCAAGGAACTACGGTCTGCATTCAAGTAAGTCAGATCTGTAAAACGGATGCATACACAACACTCAGGTTCTGGAACAAGACTACTGTCCAGAAGTGGACAAACAACCAAAACTTTCCGCTTGAGTATACAGTTGGTGAAAGTGAAAAAAGAAGAAGAATCTCATGTCAGTTTATGCTAAACCCTATTTATGCTTTTTTTTTTCCTTGCTTCCCCTTGAATCTGTGATTAGTGGATTAGATGTCTCCACTCCTTCATCCAGAATGATAAATGTTAAGTTTTCTTTTCTTTGAGCACATTCACTTTTTAGGTGAATTTATTTAATCGTCATCAGCTGAGGTGTCAAAAATTTCTCTATTGATGGCATGCTATAAGTTAACAGTGACAGTCAGTGTTTCAGATTCCAAATATGACTTCTGGGATTGTTATGTTTAGGTGTGCATAGCCGAAAAGTTGTCTCGCACATCGTTAAATGTGTATTGTATTTGTTTGTAAAGCAAAGATCTTTTGTCTGTCTGGGGTAGAACAAAAATCCTAGTCAGTGTGATGGACTGCGGTGGTATTTGTATGTGGCCTTGCTCATCTGCTTGGCTAGTGGAGCTAATATTAGTATACATACAGGCATAATAGTTTTAAAATTTGATTTACTGTATCACATCTCATCACTGAGGAAAAAGAACTGTTTCCAGTTGAAATTAAGAGATTTTTAAAATGTATTTCCAGCTTGCCCCAAGACAGCCTTCAAGGACCGGATTCTGTGATGTCGCCAGCTTCACCAACAACAACTGTGCCAACCACAATCATGAAATCATTTGGTATACTCCATAACGTATCCAACTGCCAACCTCCGCCACTTGCAGTGGATCCGCCTGTGATCAGTGCTGTCCCCTTGAAACCTCTTAATTATGTTGCTGTGAGAATATCACTTGAAATGCCCAAACCATACGCTGAACTCTTAGACTCTGTCTTTGCTGCAGATCCTGCTTTTAAAGATGATCCAAGGGTTAAATGGCATCTCAGCTATATTGAAAAGCAACCACCAAAGGAGCCTCAAAGTGAAAGTAGCAGTGAAGAAAGATCTCACAAACCGTCTGATCCACGCCTCACCAAACAAAGTGATTCCAACGGCAATGATAGGATAGAGGGCGCTAGAACATCTGACCCTCGGTTACACAGAACTGAACCTCAGTCCTTGCCTGCTGACCCAAGACTTGCTCGCTTGGCAGGTGGCAATTTTGACCCACGTCTTAATCGCCAGATAATCCAGAATCAAAATGGCAGTGATATTTTGAACATAAGAGGTGGAGCTATGCCAGCGAATATTATGAACATGGACAACCCAGTGGGTAGTTTCATGAACGGCCCAGTGAATAACGTGGCACCGGTACAGAATATGAATGGCGGTATGCCTGGCCATATTATTGGTCAGATAGGAGGTCATGTGAATAGTTTTAATGTAGAAGGCCGCCGAATGGTGCAGGGTGGAAGTGGGTCACCAAATATGACAGAGTCAGTGGTTAATCAAATGAACGTGATGGGAAGACCCATGAACCAAATGGTTGGTGAGATAAATCAGATGCATTTATTGAGAGCACCACACATGCCATCGTTTGGTTTGGGTGGCAACAGAATGATGATTAGCCAGGAGAACACATTGGAAGATCCTCTGTGTCAGCCAAATCAGTTACGTACTGATCCGTCGCTGATTGTATCAGGGGTACATAATTCATCAGATCCTCGGTGCGGATACAAGGTGCTCAACGAGATGCATGGCAATACTGATCCTAGGTTGCGACATAGATCTATTGGCCCTATAGATCAGCAACAAAGATTTATGAATCCTAGAGACCAGCAACAAAGATTTATGGGCCCTAGAGACCAGCAACAAAGATTTATGGGCCCCAGATATCAGCAGCAAAGATCTATGGATCCTAGAGACCCGCAGCAAAGATCTATGGATCCTAGAGATCCGCAGCAAAGATCTATGGATCCTAGAGATCTGCAGCAAAGATCTATGGATCCTAGAGACCAGCAGCAAAGATATATAGATCCTAGAGATCCACAACAAAGATCTATGGATCCTAGAGACCAGCAGAAAAGATCTATGGATCCTAGAGACCAGCATTTCAATATGAAGGATTCAGGTTTGTTTAGAATGAGTCCTAACTCGGACACTGTCAGTTCAACAATTCAAGGCTCCGTTAATCAGGGAACTCTTATGCATACTAACAATTTTAAACCATTTACACATGGTTTGCAACAGCAAAGAGAGATTTCTCAAAGCTTAAACGTCGTACAGAAAGCTCAGGGTGATGGACTTTTGCCATACCCATCATCTGTAGCATCATCTATGCCAAACTCAGACACTGATGACTCTTCACTTACTAAACTTGATCACAGAAGAGACCCACGTTTTAAACGAGTGAAAAAAGTATCTGGCCCGCAGAAGGACAGCATGGAATACAGTTCACCATTAGGTGATGACAAATGTGTGGATGTTCCAGGAGGTAATGGCCAGTATGGCTCAGCTCATAATAGCTATAATCGTTCAAGGTCTAGCCACGATACCGGTGTAAGGGCGGTCCCTAGCCCTCCGTTACCAGACACACTTCGAGATTTTAGTCTTCCAGCGTCACCATCTTTGAATGTTGCAGAACCATTTGTGCAAGTTAAACATCTTTTTAAAACAATTGACCCGACAGCATCTCCATTCTGCTGACACAGCCCATGAGGTCCACAGGTTTTGGTTTGTTGAGCCACTCAAGTATTTGATGCTGTGATTCATCATTATGGCAACTGCTTTTTCTTGATGGCAGTGAATTTTTTCTTCTTCTGAAAGCATATATTTTCATCAAGTGTTGACACCTGCTTTTGTTTTCATGTCGTTGAGAACAGGCTCAGTATAGAGAAAATCTCAAATATGTAAAATTGAAACTAGATTAAGCTGATGAAGAATTGTAGTCTTTGTGCACAACATGTTTGATCTATCTAGCATGCTATCCCACATAGAGGGCACCTCATGTTGGGATCCATGTATGCTGTTTTGCTTATACCATGGTCTATCTTCTGTTGTTAATAGATTGGTAACATCTGGTGTGCATGAAATGCTTGTTAAAATCACTTCAGTATTCCTAATTCAAATGCCATTTCTGTTAAATTGTTATTGATTATTCTTGCCTTTTTCCCAAAGGGGCGATATGGTTAAAAAGCAATGGATCCTTTATAATTGAGGAGTTATTTGATCCAGTTCTTAGCATTGTGCTGAAGTTATGATTGGCTTCAAATATTTGTTCATTGACTGATCTCTTAGGTAGTGAGATTGGATGCCTAACCTTCTTAAATAAGGGCAAAAACAGGAGAGTTTACCTGAGGATTGATTATATTTATGATGGATGGAAGTTATGGTTGCCCGGCTCTCTAGCGAAGTTGGTTAAACCTGACTTTCGCGGCGGCCGGGTGACGAACTCCTTGTGGTCCGGGTTCACTCCCGGGGGTAGGCAGAAAAGCCACATTTCTCCCAGATTAACGGTACCTATAATGGAATCAATGCCGAAGGGTTGCGATATCCATAGTACCGAGCCAAAGGGTTTACAACTCATGGTTTCTGGATACGTTAAAAAAAATGGAAGTTATGGAGTAGGCTGGGAAAGTACTGATCTGGCAAAATTGCTAGGACAAAAAACCTTCTCATGGGTAGATAACTCCCATGAGTCGAATCGATCTAAACGAGGTCAGCCTTAGACAAATTATGCCGGAGTTGGGCAAAACTGACTTCAAGTTAGGTGCACTCTCCTCACAAGAGGAATGTTTATTATGTGATTTCAGCAGGCCTTTTAGTTATTAGAAATTATCACTTACATTGCAGGCATTAACACTAATTTGTTGACTATTCTTACACACAAACAAAAATTGCTGGAACAGTCATATTCACATATTTCTTGAATTGATCGTGTCTGTCTAAATGAGGTATGTTAGAAAAATATCTGACTGTAATATTTTCCATGAAAATAAATCATACACTAAGGATGTATTTTAGCAGGATGGGTGTTCCGAGCCTTGATTCTTTTGTGTCCCTTATTCCTCCGGCCACCGAGGGTGTCGCTCAGCTTGTGTGCAAGTTGTGTAGTATGCGCCCCTACTGGAATTGTATTGGTTGCAAAATAGCAAAATGACTAGAGTGCAAAATTGTATCATATGTTTTTTTCTTCTTAACATAATGCCAATACCTAAGTGGAAATCATTTGGAAGTTTCAAGAGGTTTTGGCTATGATGCTGTTAATGGAACACAGGTTAACAAGTACTACAATTACTTCAGAGATGACTGAATATTGGTGGAGAGAGAATCATGTTTTGGCAGGTCGCCAACAAGCTGACGTAATGTTGATCAACTTTGATCGTGCTGATGTGTCACCTTACAAGAGTTGAATGTTAAATTGTGAATCAACATCACAGCACTCGGGACACCCCCATAAGTGCTCCGTCCCCATTTTCAGCAACCAACGAAGAATTCCAATTCTGATGGCACCAGTAACTGTCTAATTGTATATCCATCTCATCCTTACCCTGAGTGTTGTGTGTCAGCCAGATCCCCTGGTAACTCCTCGCAGCGCCATTCTCAGGCCATAATAATCTTTTTGCACTTCCGCACTGTTCACTCGCTACCAGAAGCCCCTCACACCATCTTGCTTGTTATACATCAGTTCACCACCAAGTGTTGCAGAACTGGCCAGTCTATTTGCCTGCTCATTTCCCATCACACCGGCATAACCTGGAGAGAATATCCAAAGGATACTAACTCTGTTTAGAGCATAGACCGTCAACCAGGTCATGTAAGGCTGTGGAGATTTGTTGTTTGATTTGCAGCTAGTTTTCTTGTATGACAAAGTGACTAGTCTCAGACCTACTCTCCTTAGTCCCCTCTTACAACAAGAAAGAAAGACTACAGTGTTTCTCTTTGTTCCCCTGTTGGTCCCAGGAATGCACTGATGCTCAGATGTTTGTAGTCATCATACGATGAGAGAAGATGTCCCCTGTTGGTCCCAGGAATGCACTGATGCTCAGATGTTTGTAGTCATCATACGATGAGAGAAGATGTCCCCTGTTGGTCCCAGGAATGCACTGATGCTCAGATGTTTGTAGTCATCATATGATGAGAGAAGATGTTCCCTGTTGGTCCCAGGAATGCACTGATGCTCAGATGTTTGTAGTCATCATACGATGAGAGAAGATGTCCCCTGTTGGTCCCAGGAATGCACTGATGCTCAGATGTTTGTAGTCATCATACGATGAGAGAAGATGTTCCCCTGTTGGTCCCAGGAATGCACTGATGCTCAGATGTTTGTAGTCATCATATGATGAGAGAAGATGTCCCCTGTTGGTCCCAGGAATGCTCTGATGCTCAGATGTTTGTAGTCATCATATGATGAGAGAAGATGTTCCCTGTTGGTCCCAGGAATGCACTGATGCTCAGATGTTTGTAGTCATCATATGATGAGAGAAGATGTTCCCTGTTGGTCCCAGGAATGCTCTGATGCTCAGATGTTTGTAGTCATCATATGATGAGAGAAGATGTCCCCTGTTGGTCCCAGGAATGCTCTGATGCTCAGATGTTTGTAGTCATCATATGATGAGAGAAGATGTTCCCTGTTTGGTCCCAGGAATGCACTGATGCTCAGATGTTTGTAGTCATCATACGATGAGAGAAGATGTCCCCTGTTGGTCCCAGGAATGCACTGATGCTCAGATGTTTGTAGTCATCATATGATGAGAGAAGATGTCCCCTGTTGGTCCCAGGAATGCTCTGATGCTCAGATGTTTGTAGTCATCATATGATGAGAGAAGATGTTCCCTGTTGGTCCCAGGAATGCACTGATGCTCAGATGTTTGTAGTCATCATATGATGAGAGAAGATGTTCCCTGTTGGTCCCAGGAATGCTCTGATGCTCAGATGTTTGTAGTCATCATATGATGAGAGAAGATGTCCCCTGTTGGTCCCAGGAATGCTCTGATGCTCAGATGTTTGTAGTCATCATATGATGAGAGAAGATGTTCCCTGTTGGTCCCAGGAATGCACTGATGCTCAGATGTTTGTAGTCATCATACGATGAGAGAAGATGTCCCCTGTTGGTCCCAGGAATGCACTGATGCTCAGATGTTTGTAGTCATCATATGATGAGAGAAGATGTCCCCTGTTGGTCCCAGGAATGCTCTGATGCTCAGATGTTTGTAGTCATCATATGATGAGAGAAGATGTTCCCCTGTTGGTCCCAGGAATGCTCTGATGCTCAGATGTTTGTAGTCATCATATGATGAGAGAAGATGTTCCCCTGTTGGTCCCAGGAATGCTCTGATGCTCAGATGTTTGTAGTCATCATATGATGAGAGAAGATGTTCCCTGTTGGTCCCAGGAATGCACTGATGCTCAGATGTTTGTAGTCATCATACGATGAGAGAAGATGTCCCCTGTTGGTCCCAGGAATGCACTGATGCTCAGATGTTTGTAGTCATCATACGATGAGAGAAGATGTCCCCTGTTGGTCCCAGGAATGCACTGATGCTCAGATGTTTGTAGTCATCATACGATGAGAGAAGATGTTCCCCTGTTGGTCCCAGGAATGCACTGATGCTCAGATGTTTGTAGTCATCATATGATGAGAGAAGATGTCCCCTGTTGGTCCCAGGAATGCTCTGATGCTCAGATGTTTGTAGTCATCATATGATGAGAGAAGATGTTCCCTGTTGATCCCAGGAATGCACTGATGCTCAGATGTTTGTAGTCATCATATGATGAGAGAAGATGTTCCCTGTTGGTCCCAGGAATGCTCTGATGCTCAGATGTTTGTAGTCATCATACGATGAGAGAAGACGTTCCCTGTTGGTCCCAGGAATGCTCAGATGTTTGTAGTCATCATATGATGAGAGAAGACGGTTCACTCTTATGTCATTGAAGGGTGCTAGCACACTAGGTGACATGCTGTTGATCATAAGTTGTGGAAAGGTGTTAGTGCTCACACCAGTTGGTGAGGATGTGATGGTGATAATCATCAGTAATGTCTGAGATTGAATTCTCAACTGTACATATGTTTTCAATGTCAATGAAGAGCCAGAAGTTTTAGCCTAATCCCAGACTAGTGGAAACCTTGCTCATGTTTGTTGCCATGTGAGAGGTTGTGTGTGTTTCAAGCCATTTGAGAAGTGCAGACATGTGAGAGGTTGTGTGTTTCAAGCCATTTGTAAAGTGCAAACATGTGGAGGCTGTGTGTGTTTCAAGCCATTCATGAAGTGCAAACATGTGGAGGCTGTGTGTGTTTCAAGCCATTCATGAAGTGCAAACATGTGGAGGCTGTGTGTGTTTCAAGCCATTCATGAAGTGCAAACATGTGGAGGCTGTATGTGTTTCAAGCCATTCATGAAGTGCAGACATGTGGAGGCTGTGTGTGTTTCAAGCCATTTGTGAAGTTCGGACATGTGGAGGCTGTGTGTGTTTCAAGCCATTCGTGAAGTGCAGATATGTGGAGGATGTGTGTGTGTAGTACCAGATGTCTGGTACTACTGGCTGTGGGTGTCAGTGAGTTTCCTGTGCCTACAGTGTGTAACACTGTTTTTATTGGGTACCTGGAAATATGTGTCAGTCAGTCAGTTGTTAGCAAGTTTGCAAAAGAGTGAGCGTGAAAGAGAATGGTATTATATTTATATTATGTATTAAAATTTTCTATAATT